CACATGAGCGCGCCGAATTGCGTATTCACGGTATTATAGGAACGCTTCAATGCGGGAAACCACGTTGTTGTCGGTAAACATAAAAACAAAATGGAGAAAAGGAAGAGGACAGAGTATATTGGGCAAATTTAACTGGATTTCGGATTACGATGTTGTTTTCGGAGCAAGATATGGTCAACAATTAAAGCCTTCTGTTCCAAAGGCTGGATGACAAAGTCGCAAAAGAAATCTAGTGTGGCTAATTACCGCCTGACTACTCGTAAGCTCCCCGAAGTGTTCACAAAATTTGCATGGTAAATTTCACATTTATACAATACCATTTTCACACGTTTATCAAATTAGTATGTTCTTGATTTAGTTTTTATAAAATTTCGAGTAAGTGTGTACACGTGTTACACTTTGAGAACTGTACTGTCTCTCTGTTCAATAGTCTACATGGTGGAAAAAAAGTCCCGAAAAGCCCCCCCCCCAAAGAGGTGTAAATTTCTTAGGTTTAAAAACTTTATCATAATCAATGCACTATTCACACTTCCAGTACTACGACGTATTTGACCTTTGTCATACAAGAATTAATTTTGTCTCAAGCTTTTATATAATCAATTGTTTGAAAATGAAGATCAAAGGAACAGAGTACTATTGAATAAATATATATTTCTACACTTAGTGTAAGTGTAAGAGAGGAACATACAGCCTTCAGTATATACTAGAAGGATCATGGTGATGCTGTACATCAGATATTACAATTCCCTGTCAGACTTGGATCATAAATGTTTACCAAAACATGTCATTACATGTACATCATACATGTAAATTTCTTCATGATTAAAGACTGTGATAAAATGTATTTCTGTAAACAGAAGTTAATATTTGCTTATTTTAGACACTCTAAATAACAATTAAGTTAGGAATTATTTGAAAGGGATAAGGTTAATACAATTCGTCTTCTCCCGCACCCTTATTTCGAGTTATACATTTTGGTGTATAACCATAAATATTATATTATAAATATTGATAAGATACAATTGCATGCAAAACATTTAGTACACAGGATAATCCTGGAGGGGGCCATATGGGGCATTGACCCCTCAAAAATGAAATTGACCCTTCAATGTTCAAATTTAATCTTACATAGAATAACCCTCTTAATTTTGCTTAGTCTTATTTTTTACATTATTATTTAAGGGAATTAATGGAAAAAACTAAAAGCATCACTTTCGGATAATATTAATGTTTCAATTAGCGATGAGATGAAGTCATGAGTCATTGGCAAGGTCAAAATGATCTTTTTACATTTGTGATATAGATTTAATTGAAATTGTCAAGAAAGTTAAACTTGCTTCTATATTTGATACGATTTTTATGAATTTCACGGTCAATATGAATGCCTGTATCATGCAAACTTATCCTCAACCATGCCATTTTTACACAATATTATTTTTGTATTTTCAGTTCCTATCTCAACTTAAATTGTTACCAGTCTGCCATCATAATTGGGGCCACATTACAGCAACAGATTCACCAGACGTGAAGGAAATCAAAGAGGAAGCAGTCATAATCTCTCTCTAAGACAGTCAGTTGTCAGAGGACATTTACAGCATAAATAAGGATCCATGGAATCTCATCCCAGAGTGTGTCAAACTAGTCAAAATTGAACTACATCTCCTAAATTCCTGCAAATAGAAAACTCTTCTATGGACACTAAGCTGTGATAGTTA